CAGGCCCCCGGCCCGGCTCCACTGCAGGGGGCGGAAGGGCGCGCCCGGCCCCGGCCCCGAACCCGCCCCGCCGGCGCCCGCACCGGGTTCCAGCTGCTGCTCGCTGGACAGGGAAAGACCCAGGTCGTTCGTGTGTGCGTGTGTGTGTGTGTTGGGGTGGCGGTGTGTTTGTGCGAAGCCTCTTGGGCTGTGCGTCGGTACGGCTGTGGATTCGAAACCCAGCTAAGCAAACCGCCCGGGCCATTAGGGAGGAGCTGCGCCTCGGTCGCTCACTGACCCGGGGGCAGCCCCGGCAGAGAGGCTGGTTGTCTGACCCGACAGCTCAGGCTTAGGAAAAGCCAGGCCCTGCAAAGGGCGTCAGAATAGACGTCTGTGGGGTGTGTGTGTGTTGGGGAAGGGAGCTGAGTGTACACGTCAAAGGCAAGCCAGAGCCTGCGCTGCTGAGACTCTCGCCGTTTTTTTCCAATGATGCTTTAAGGAAGTTGTCATTCTTCTGCTTTTCAAAGGCAGCAGTCAGGTTTTGGAGTCTCCAGACCAATCCTTATTTTACCCCCCGCGACGCCAGGAGTGATGAACGGGAGGTGCTGACCAGAATGAACAGGAGATACCTGTGGCTAGTTCACTGGAAAAGTTTGTTTTCCTGCCTTCCTCTGGTCTGGTCTGGTCTTAGCAACAGGGAATGTTTGTTTATAGTTTCTCGCTGTCCAAAAGAAAACGAAGGATCAGGGTGGTAAAGTGGTGGTGTTCCCGGTTGTATGCTCTGTACTTGAAGATTTTGAATTCAGTGCTGAACTATTACATATAATCTTCAAGTAAGAGACTGAGGTTAAAAGAAAAAAAAACTTTGTTGTAAGTCATTGGTTAGTGTCCTGTAGTAGTGTGCAGGGCACTTTGCAGTTGACTTCTTTAAAGTCACAGTGATGGTAGGAACAATAAGCTAAATATTTTATCTTGTGTTTACTGTGCACAAGCACTGTGCTCAATGCTTTACATTTGCGGTGTCCCCTTTAATACTCAACATCTCAGTGAGGTTGGTGCTGTAACTATTTCCATTTTATAGATAGAGCAATTTTAATCTTATTAATGGGAGAATCCAGATATGAAACCCAGGTTTGTCTGACTCTTTTAAATTCATTAATAACTTGTCTTAGTGAAGCTGTGGGGGAATGGGTATTCCATGCATCGCTGGTAGGAGCAGGATAATGTATCTATCCTTGAAAATGTACATAGCCTTGACCCAACAATTCTATATACTTCATAAGGAAATATTTATATCAGGAGATTTTCATTACAGTATTTATGATAGAGAAAATATACAATTAAAGGAAATTGGTTAAGTAAATTGTGGTAGAGCCACATAGTATGGTAGGATATACTACACTGTGTGATAATACATGACTACCTGTTAAAAATGATATAGAAAGATGTTCACCATATACATTTGTATTCACTGAAAAAAGATTTCAAATTATTTCTTTTAGTTCATTCAATACATACTCATTGAGCTTCCCCTGGGTACTTGAGATATTGTATCATGGAACTTGTATTTAGTAAGGTAGGGCAGAGAATAAACAGTAAAGAAGATAATCCATTAAATTATATAGTGTGTTAGGTAAAAAGTGCTGTAGAAAACAAGAGTGGGTTAAGGGAAGTCAGGAATGAGAGTGAGGGCTGGGATGTTTATAGTACTTTATATAGTGGTCAGGATGGCCCTATTGACAAGGTGCAGTTTGAACCAAGACTTGGAAGAGATGAGGGAATTAGCCAAGTGGATTGCTAAGGAAAGATTATTACAGGAAGAAAGAACAGCTAAAAGTAAAGATGTGAACAGCAAGGAGGCTAAGGTGGCTCTAGCAGAGTGATTGAGGCAGTAAGGAGGCCAGATTGAATGTAGGGTCTTATAGGTCATGTAAAGATTATATTACTTTTACTCTGGGAGAATGGAAACTAGTGCAGGGTTTGAGTAGAGGAGTTAAATGATCTGACTTAAATTTTAAAAGGATTACACTAACAAGCAACAACAACAAAAGGATTACACTGGTTGCTATGTGAACAATAGACTGTTGCCAGAATGGTAGCCACAGTGGCAGTAAGTAGAAAAGGTTAGTCTCTAGGTCCATTTTGAAAATAGAATCAGCATGATTTCCTGACGGATTCGATGAGGTTTGAGAGTGAAAACAGAGACAAGGATGACTCTGGGGACGTGAGAGCCTACGAGAATGAAATTAGTATCAACTGGGTTGTTATGGTGTGCCACACAAATTCTTTCATGCTTTTTTTTCAAGAGAAGAAACTTAATTTCCTTCCTTTTGAGTGTGGGCTGGATTTAGTAATTTACTTGGAATGAATAGATTATGGTGGAAGTGATGTCTGACTTCAGCACTAGGTCATAAAAGGCTGTGTGCCTTTTTCCTTTGCTTTCTCTTTTTGGATCACTCACTTGGAGCGAAGCCAGCTGCCATGTTGTGAGGAGATTCAAGCAGGCCTAAGGAAGGGTCCATTTGCTGAAACTGAGGTCTCTTAACAGCTGTAAAGTGTCAAATAGCAACATACAACTGGTGCAGAAAAGAGTCAAAATCATAGAAAGAGCACATTTGGTGGTGAAGAGCAGTTCAGTTTTGGACATGTTATGTTTAGATGTCTTTTAGATATCACAGTGCAGATGTCTAGTAGGTAATTGGATTTACGTCTAGAGTTAATGAGAGGTCTGATCTAGAGATACAAACTTGAAAGTCATCAGCATATAGATCACATTTAAGCCATGAGACAGAATAAGAGCATATGGGACTGTGAGAGAGAGAAAGACAGAGGGAACTCTAAAATGTTCAGGGAATTTTCAGGGAAATTTCTGAGTGACCCAGTAAGTGATATTTAATTTAAAAAATGTTTTTCTGATTTTCCACAATGACCAAATATTATTTAATTTTAAAAAGAATAAAAAAGTAAGTATTTAAGATGTTAAAATACAGATTCGTCTCAGGTAGATAAGTAGCTTGACGCCCACACTTTATTTCACAGGTCATGGGGCCTCTTGGAGGTTTCTTACTGGGCATGTTTTCTCCAGTTTATAAATGAACAGAATAGTTACTATCACCATTTTATATCTAGGTGATAGTTTATAGAATCAGGTGGCAACATTTTATATTATTACTTTCAGTTTGTCCACTGCCAAAATATAAGTGATTTATTTCACTGTTACAAAAGTAATGGATATTTATTACATTCTTCTCATTTTTTACATTTTATATAAGAGGGAAAAAAAAGACACTGTGATCTCATCCACCTATGTCCTTGTCAACTTATTCACATTTTTGTATATTTACTGTCATATTTCTATTTAATATTAAAAAACATTGCAATCAAACTGAATAGTTAGGTTTTTTCACTCGGTATATATTTTTCCCTGTTTCACTCAGATTTCACAATCATAATTTAATGTCAGTGCGGTATTTTATAAAGTTGTTGTGCTATAGTTAATTTAGTAATTTCCTGATTACTGCACAGTTTTTTCCAGAGTTTCAACATTTATAAAGTTTCAGTTAACATCCTTGTGTCCAAATCCTTTTCTCCTTATACTAGCTTGCCAGAATTAGAATTTCTAGGTAAAAAGAATAAACATTTTCAAGACTTTAATATATAAAGTATTACTAAATTCATGTGATTTAAAAAAATTCTGTGTACAGCTTGAAATTTAGGTTAATTTTAGGTTAGGAAATTAAGATTGAACAATTGTCTAGGCAAAATAAGAGAACATACAAGCATTGCCTAATTTAAGAATATTTCATTTTCTACAAAATTGTACATACCATTAGTGTATATGCATGATGTGTGCTATATTAAATATTGTGTAATGTTGAATCAAGCTAGTATTTCTTATTTATTAATAATTTTTCTATTTGTAAATAGAATAGAAATTCTGTTTAAGTTGCTTGATATCTATTACTTAATAGATGATTTTTATATATTTATTAATAGTGATTTATTTTATGAGGCATTATTAATTCTTATAGTAATCATAGCATTTTTCAGACCTTCTCAATGTAGTAGTTGGGTAAAAATTACAGCAAAATGTTGGAAGTAATGGATATTATGTGTGATGTGAATTGGATCATGTAATTTACATTTTAATTATTTTGGGGTGAGTGTTCAGATTTTGTGTGTTATTGACTTTTTTAAAGCTTTTCTCATTTGGGGTTTTTAAGTATTTGTCTCCTCCAGTGGTCTCTATTTCCTTTTGGCTAGTATAACATGCTTTGTGCATCTTTTCATACTCAGTTTTATGTATCTTATAAATGCTCAGAATTATTGTTAAATTATAATTTCTTGTCAAAGATTAGAATTTTAAAATCCTATAATTAGTATCTAATATCCTTATGTAGGAAGGGGAAGAAAACTAGAATTTATTGATTACTTATTATGTGCCAGGATCTGAGCTCTATGCTTCATATACATTATTTTATTCTTTATATTATACATAATATAAATAATACATATGATAACTTAATATGTATTATCATTTATGATAATGACATCACAAAAGTTATTAGTCTTATTCTACACATGAAAAAAGTAGGCTCAAATGAATCTGGTTAAAATGTCAACTAGGCAGTGTCACTCCTCTGCTCAGAACTGTCCTGTGATGTGCTGTCCAGTGTGGTGGCTATTTGTTATGTATGGTCAT